TTTTTTTTTTTTTTTTTACCGCTTATGCATTTTTCAAGAATTACAACTTACGAAGTTGGCTCACGCAACAACTAAAGTTGTTAAACGCGTTGCACCTAGCGTTAGTGCCAAGCAACAGGCGGATGGAAAAAGTGGTTCTAACCAAAATACGGTTGTATCTTCACCTACTCAATCTGTTACTGTTTCTGTTCCTCCACAACGTCAGCAGCCCAGAACTAATGCGGAGAAAAGAAAGCCTGAGGTCTCTAACAGTATTTGTGTATATTTTTTTTCTGCCGTTTTTAAAGGTCACTTTTAAAGGTTTATTCACACTTCGAAGTTAATAATGAATCATATTTTAGCCAACAGGGAAACGCCAAGAAGTTTTTGCAGAAGCTCCAACTTCGAGATCTAATGAGCGGTATTATTTAAAGCTGTGTTAATTCTTAGATACATAATATAACTGATTTTTTTCAGTTTTGAGAGTTTTCGTCCATTTTTAGAGAAAGAAAGCCTCGGCTCACTAAGGAAGAGAAATCACATGAGGATGCTGTCATGACGAATTCGAAACAAACGACTCCGCCAACAATTGTTGCCGCACCTTTACCCACTGATAATGTGTGGGAAAAACGAGCTGAGGAAAGAGAAGTGGCGCAAAGGGCTGCTAAAAAGGAGTACATAGATACCGCTCATTTTCCGGCATTTAATGAAGAGTCAAGTAAGTGATTTTTATATGTAATTTTTTGGCAGTTCACAATATTTTATTGTTTTCTGATTCCGTATCTTCTACTTTTGATTGCGGTAAAGCGATTTTCATTTTAGATCTAGGAGAGCTTGCGTCACATTCCAGCGACACTGTTCAAAGCACAACTTTCAATCGGAAAGATTCATCGAGAAACGAAGGGATGAGTCACAAACAGCGCTCAAACAAGCACCGAAATCGTAAGTGTAAAGTGGCAGCTACTTCTGTCTGTAGAGTGGAATTAATCTTGCCGCTAAAATGGGCAGTAAAGTGGTAAATGAAGAAATTTTTTTAGAAAACTGGTCTGACAACACCCACTCGGGGGTTTATTCACACTTCGAATCCAATGACTTCTACGGTCAAGACGATGAGGAAGATAGTGGACAGTTATTCCGTGGTCAACGAGAGTTTGTTAATTCACGAGTAAGTGCACATCATCGTGCTCGTGGAAGTCTCCTTGGTGGACGTGATTCTAAGGGCAGAGGTGTTGTTGGTGGGCTTCGACGGGGCACCACTATTTCTCACCAAACAAATATTCGTGGCCGCCGGTTACCGTTACATCATGGAGAACGAAGCGATAGGTACAGCCAGAGAAGGAGCAAGCACCAAGAAGAAAATACTCCAGAACAGGTGACCTGCGTGATTCTCGTTTGATATTGGGTTTGGTCGTTACTTTTCCTTCGTAAGTTTTGATATCGTTTTTCAAATCTTGTTTTAGGAAGACAATTTCGCAAACATGGGTGAATTTCGTGTTGAAGATACATACCCCTTACTCACTTCAGCCGATGAAAAAGTGTCTAATGAAACTTTGAAAAAAGATGAGGCATCAGAAGGTGCAAGAAAAACGAATGGAGAGCGTCGTGGAGGTCGAACGCAAAAGACTCATGGTCAGAGGCTGCAGCAACAGTACCGCAGCACTCAGCAGTATTACCAGCCTCGCCCTCAAAATGAGGTAATAAGTTTGTGTTTTTATTTTTCTCAAATTATTTTTACCATTTTAGAAGGCTTTTCATCTGTTTTGGTTTTCTTTCGAATGGGACAAGAAGATGTTTAGGAATATAACTCTCGTTCTGGTACTCGTGGTAGTAATCGTACTCGTGGAGCAGCACGTCGCGGAGACGTTTACAATGCGAGCGGCAACCAAAACTTTTCCGAAAGAGGAAAAAGGAAGAAAGAATATTCTAAAAAACATGATGAGGTATGTTTTTAAAGGCGTAGGTAAATTTTTTTACGTACTGCTTTTTAATTCAAGCTGCTTACGGGTTTTTTTTTTATTGTTAGGATGTAGTATTTTAGGAGCGTGATAGAGGAGGTGACGATGACGGGAGAAATACGGGTTCATTACGCGATGATAACGTTAAGGAGGCAAAAAAGAATTCAGCTCAACAGGTATCTTCGGAACTCGGCTAAATTTGAATAGCTTTTAGTTAAACAAGGAGATTGCATTGGGAGGGCTAGGCTGCAGCTGTGAAATTTGATGTTTTTTATGATTTTTCTTCGTTACATTAAGGTGCGTTATCGGCGTACTTCTCCTAGTCGCGGTGATAGCTCACCAAGTTCTCATCCAGGGGTTAATGCTGATCGTGTATCTCATGTTAAATCGCCAGTTACCTCAGAAGGACAAGAGGAGTGGGAGACGGCTTCTGAAAGTAGCGATATAGGCGAACGACAGAAGTATGCAGTTTTTATGACTAATTGAATTTGGGTCTAGTAGTTTTTTAGAGTTGGCTTTGTTCCCTGTGTGGTATCGTGAGATGCATGGTTTTTTTTTTGAAATCCATATTTCTTCCCACGTATACTGAAGTGACTGTTTAGGTTCGTTGTAAAATACTTTTTTGTTCCTTTTAAATTTTTAGCATATGTCTGCCTTACTGCAACTCTTTAAATGATGGTGAAACATGAGTAATTGTAGGGCACAGAAGCGCAGTGTATTGTCAACGAAGTTCAGCAGTAGTAGACGAGTTAGGCGCACAGCTAACCGTTAGTTTTTGGTTGCTACTTCTTCAATTTTTGGTTTTTAAATTTATCTTACAATTTATTTAGCACCACGGCGAGAAGTTACGAACGAGAATGCAACAACTCGTACTACTCATTCAAAAAACGCGAAACCCGCCAGTACTACATTGCACGCGGCCGCCCGAGGGGGACAGTCACACAACCAGGTCTGTAAGAGATAAGAATTTATAGTTTTGAATTAATTGTTAATGGCAGAATGGCTTTAAGCATTCATATATTTTCATAATGAAACTGGGATGGTCTCAAAGAGATACTAGTTTGCAGAATGGACTTCAGTGGTTTATTTAGGAAATCGGTCAGGTGACAAACTCGGAGCCGCACAGACGTGAAGGGGCCTGCAGAGACGGACTGGCGGGATTAGATATTAATGATGCAGGCGTCGTAGTGATTGATGATCTGCGTGATGTTGAGAACATGTCCAGCGATCAAGCCGCGAACGGTGATGATGATTTTGAAGAGGTGATTTCAAAGAAAAGTAAAAGGATCAGACAACAACAAATTAATGAACAGTTGGAGGC